AAAAAAAAAAAAAAAATTGCATTATCAGGCCAGCTGTGGTGACTCTTGCATGTAATCCCAAAACATTGGGAGGCTGAAGCAGAGGGATCATGTGAGGCAAGGAGTTCAAGGCTGCAGTGAGCTATGATCAGGCCACTGTGCTCTAGTCTGGGAGACAGAGAAAGACTCTGTCTCTAAAAAATAAAAATAAATTAGCATTACCATTTTTTTTCTAGTTATAAACGTATCACAAAATCAGAGATCAAATGTGATAAAGTATATAACATAGAAAGTGACATTATAGCTCACAGCAACCTCAAATTTCTGGGCTCAAGAGATCCTCTTGCCTCGGTTTTTTTATTTTTAGTAGAGATGGGGTCTCGCTCTTGCTCAGGCTTGTCTCAAATGCCTGAGCTGAAGTGATCCTCCTGGCTTGGCCTGCCAGAGTGCTAGGGTTATAGGCATGAGCCACCACTTCCAGCCAGGTGCATCATAATTTGTCTAATTTGCCCTGGCTGGCTGAGGGATTTCGTGGATATATCTCAGTTGGCAGTCAAGATGCAAGCCAAAAGCCAACTCTGGATCACTCAAATAGCAGAGGACATTAGGTGGCTGATGACACCAGCAGGGACACTGAAACCCTGGCTTCAGAAGATAGTAGAAGACAAGGGATGGCAAACTGCAGAGAACATGGATACAATCACTATCACCGCTGCCCTGGTGTGTCCCAGGGGCAGCTGACTGGGAGGGCTTCACTGGCTGCTTCTTTAGGACTCAAGATTTGAGATAAGAATTCTCAACTGGCTAGGTGTGAGCTCCATGCTTGCACCTTCATTGCCAGGAAGCAGGGAGAAGGAGGGAATGTCTGGGTCCCTCTAGCTTGTCTGGAGTGGGAGGCCTTATCCCATCCTGATCCCACTAGAACTTACAAAGGGGACATCCCCAAAATAAAACAGGAAGTGGTTTTTTTTAATTCTCCCAGAATATCAATGCTATCTTTTATGTATTTCAGTATTTCTTTGTACATTTACTGTTTCTATAGGAAAATTCCTTCAAGTGATGTGGTGTCACAGCTCACAGCAACCTCCAGCTCCTGGGCTTAGGTGATTCTCTTGCCTCAGCCTCCCGAGTAGCTGGAACTACAGGTGCCTGCCACAATACCTGGCTATTTTTTGTTGCAGTTTGGCTGGGGCCAGGGTCGAACCCACCACCCTTGGTATATGGGGCTGGTGCCTTACTCACTGAGCCATGGAGCCACCTGGAATCATAATGTTAACTAAGGTTTTGGGGTGATGAAATCCTAGCTCGTGACTTTTATCCAAATTGTGATTACTGGACATAAGTGAGGAGGTGTCTGTGGCCATTTACCATGCATTTCACAAATCCTGGGAGGTAAACATTATTGTTCTCCATTTAAAAGTAAGGAAACAGGCTCGGCGCCTATAGCTCAACCGGCTAAGGCGCCAGCC